CTATCTTCATTCCCCCTTCTTCATTTCCCCTTTGTCATGCAATCGTCATCGCCTCTGCAAGAGTCTAAACGCCAACTCTTTACCAAATTTGTATTACGGCTCTGAGTTGTTTTTTATCCTTTACTCTTACTTGTACAAACATACTTTTTCTCTGCTGTTATTGTTTGAGACGTATGTATTTTTACCAATCCAGGAGCTAAACTGTGTGGGTAAAGTGAAATAGCTTGAACAGTGTTAGTGGTTTGATTCTATATGTACACATGCATAGATCCTTTAGCTCCAATGTTCCTATAATTGTTCATATAACAGATAACAGACATACTGTATCCGTCAATGCGGCCCGGCTTCACCCAGACTCCACCTTTTGCAGCTATCAGATAAATTGAGCTTGAGACTCATGGTTTAAGTGTTGGTTCTTACTTCAGCCTGAATCCTGTGGCTCAGAGAACAGACTTTACTAGTCTCTCCATGGTCTCGCACCAAAGTACATCTGAGAAATGTTAGTGCCCTATGAACCAACTCGGACTCTGAGGAGCACAGAGACTGGCACTGAAATAAACATGGGGAGAGAGCGTTTTAGATTTATGAAGCAAAAATCTGGAACAGTCTTCCTGGAAATGTGAAACAGGCTTCTTCTCTGACTATGTTAAAATCCAGTTCAAAAACAGTTATAGTTACTTGTACAACTGAGGGTGCTCAGTGCTGTGGCTGAGTAGATAGCACTCTCGCTTCTCAGCAAGAAGGTCCTGGGTTCAAGTGCCGGTCAGAACAGACCACTGCTCCTGATAAACGCCCCAGTGGCATCAGGATGGGTCAAATGCAAAGGATGAATTGGGGATAAATAAAGTGCACCTTTACTGTTGCCTTGTGTTGTACAAATAAACGTGCATTGCCTTGCCCTTTTGGTCATGGATTAATATTTCTGTGTGTATTTGCTCGTTGGACTGTGTTTGACCGAATAAACTAAACAAGACTAAAAAACGGAATAATTGATGTAAATAGAGGCCTTGTTTGTTTCTCTGACTCTGTGATACATCGATGACAGCATCAAACGGCTCTAATGGGGAAAATATGCTGTTTGAGATTTCTCTTTCGTTCGCAGACGTGACGCTCATGTTTGAAAAGAAACACTGGCAACACATTCTTCTCAATAGAACCTCTTTTTAAACAGTGCTTATGGTAAGTAAGTAATCTTTATTTATATACCACCTTTCACAGACCTGAGTCACTCCACACAGAGAGGGGAGCGGGGTCGCCAGTACAGGAGGCGCATGCCAGACCTACAGTATTGTACATGTTTTAGTGGTAGGGGAAACCGGAGCACCCAGAGGAATCCTACGCAGACACGGGGAGAACATGCAAACTCCTCTCAGAAAGGCCCAGTTCCGACCGGGATTCAAACCCAGGACCTTCTTGCTGGGAAGCGAGAGTGCTATCCACTCAGCCACCATGGTAACTTTCAAAAACTGGTCTGGTGCACGCTGGAGTACTTTAGCACATGTCTTCCAATGTTTTACTGCAAATAAACTGAATCGGAAAACAACAGGTGTCTTCTGTAAGTTATTTAGAAAAACAGGAAAATGTTGCCAATATTTTATAAGTAATTATACTGCCTTGAATTGGAAGATGTAACTATTGCCAAAAACGACCCCGAGAAAATATAATATATTGCCGAAAAATAAAACTGCTCAAAAAGTGTCCAATTTTGTCATTTTTGTTTTGTATTTATGCATTTTTTTCCCAGTATTTTTAAAGCTGGGGTATCAAATAACAGAGAATGGAACTTTGTTAAAAAAAAAATCTATCTATTTTCTTGCTCCCCAGACTGTATATTTGGCCAATCAGCTCTCAGCCCAAAGAGTCACTATTTGACTCCTTAAACTCTCTCTCTTGACTGACACGCTACATCTATTATTTATGTTTTTTGATTCAAGAACTTTTATAATAGATTTTTATTTTTTCTTCGGTTTACCCAGAGTGCAATAAATAATGTATCGAAACTCGTGTCCTGGGCGTCGCCCTGCACAACATGGACTCTCTGTGTAATCTATCGCTGTAAAAACTAGTGTTAGAACCAACAGAAAAGTTTGGTTCCATCACTAGTTTTAATCAGCTTTATTCAGCGTAACTCAGCTCTCAGTAAGTAAATGATACATTGTTTTCTAATAAAGTAAGCATAATATGGACTGATTATTTTCACACGCCCTACTTAAACTAGACTCTTTTTGTTGGGACAAGCAACATTCAGCTTTTATTCATATATAGTTATCATAAAGTTAATTAAACACTACTGACAAACCGACCTGACCTCACATGTCGTCAGTGTTGTGCCAGTTCACAGCTTTTCTGAACCAGTTCAAGTTCACTTCATATATGCTCAAAGTGAACAGTTCACGTTCAAAGTTCACAATTTTAATTCTGAACTAGTTCAAAGTTCAGTTCATTTTAATTTTTGTGAGATATTAAAATATATTCTCTTTTTCAAACTACGAGCTCAAAATCACTATACAACGTGATTATATACGTGAGTTAACTTGTCCCATCTCTGCTCATAAGTACTGAACAGAAATGCGCTGCAGTGTGTCTATACTTTATGTCAAATGTAAACGGTCCTGTGTCGCTGACTCACCCTCTGTTTTCATCACACTCAGGCCCTGTTTATACTGAGACGCTGCGCAGACGTTTCCAGGCTATTAACAAAAACGACCTGGCTCCTAATGCAAATTTCTCTGCGTTCACATGAGGTTGAAAAACGATGTAGTTCTAGCGCCCGGCCAGTAGTGGGCAGAGAAACTTTACAACACTCACACGACCCCCAGCCCCGTGCCCAGCCCCCCTCTCTGCAGTATATTCACTTCCTGTGCCAGACCCTCAGAAAGTACCAACATCATTCTGCATTTTAACAGCAGCTGTGAAAATGGGAACTGAACCTAGAGCTTTGCGTGGTCTCGTTTGGACGAACGAAGGTGTAGAATTATCCTCTGTGCTGTGCTCGAACATGGATCTATTATATTAACTGGATAGGGTATTACTAGCTTGTAGCTGAATAACCCATGTGCTCAGGGGATTGTCGCGGTACTGCAGACTGAACCAGACTAAATTCACGTGGGCTACCCAGAAATTTTCCCCATAGAACTCAATGCATATTAAAACAGCTCGACCTCAGCTGACAGAGAACCTACAGCTTTAATAAAGGTCGGATTTTGTGGGGATTTTAGTGTCCCTTGTCATCCTAAACTTTTTTTCTTCTTAAATCCTTCGGTTTTGTTTAAATCCACACTTTAGTGCCACAAACTCTGCTCGTCTGGTTCTCGCTCTAACTCCCGCTCTGATGAACTGCTCTGATTGGTCAGAGCAGTGCGTGAGACCCGGTGTGAGACCCACATCGGGGTGTTTGGCGCAACGCATTATGGGAGATCATCCACTGTGCAGAACCGGGAGGACCAGACGATGCCCAAATACAGGCGAGTTTTCCATAGATCTTTGCGAGTTTCAGGCAACTTCCGCTAATCTTTCAGCCCCCATGCCGTCACAAAGCGCCACTGAGCACAGTCATTCATTTGAATAGAGCGCCATCTTGGATCGCCGGGGCTTGTGCTCAAAGCCCACGAAGCTAGTTAGTGCGCGCGGCGCCATTTTTGTTGATGTTTGTTTACGTGCGGGGAGCAGCAGGAGGTGGGGGTCAGATCAGAGGGGGATTTCACACCTTTTCCCCTCTCGCGGGTGTGAAAGAGAGCTCCCCGCTGTGCAGCGTTTCTGAGTTGTCCCACTCTGCAGGCTGGATCTGAACACTTACGTTTTCACCCCCCTGGAACACAGTCTTCGTATGAACGGTTGGTAGCAACCGACATCCAACTATACCGTTTTACTGCCACATTGTCTCCGTGTAAACTCAGCCTCAGGCACATGTGAGTCCAACAACCCATGAAAAGCACTAGCATACAGCGGCGCATCACAACTAGGAGTCGGGGAGGGGGGGGGGGGGTTCACAGACGGTGGAAACAGTGAGAATTTTTTGTTTTCAGTGGCAAAAGTGCAGAGATACAGCAGGGAACTTTCTCTCGTTGCGTTTCAAAAGAGAAAACAGATTTCACTCAGTTTTTAATGGAAAACAAATTTTCTGCCGTTCATGACACATAAAATGAACTAATTCACGTTCAAGTTCTTTATTCAAAAATGTGTTTACGTTCAGTTCAACGTTCACGAAAAGATGAGCGTGTTCAATGAACGCGTTCTTTTGAACTCGTTCACGCACAACACTGCATGTCGTGCATCTGTACAATAATTTGAACTATTGTCAGAATGTGCAATATAGAAACACATGTGACCACTGTTGCTTTACTGAGTCACTTTGTCTCATACCCTGAGGCTGCTAACATGTACAGATGCAAACATACAACTATGTATTTATTGTACTAGAATATACAGTATTTCATAGTTGTGTGAATATCTAAATACTATTGCTTGCTAATTATTATAGACACTGTTCTGTGGAGTTTCAAAATTGCTGACTACTGTACTTTTAACCAAAGCCATACTTAGCTCATTAGTCAAGAGTTATTGTGCTGTGTGCTCCTCATTCCTGTTGTTCTGTAACCGGTGATGCAACACTGACATTTCCCCACTGTGGGACAAATAAAGGATCTCTCAACCAAACAACTCTTGAAGGATTTAGGGAACATTGACAAGTTGTAAACAGAGCACGAGGAGAGAGCTGTGTGGGCAGATGATGTGGTGCGGGGAGGAGAGAGCTCTGACATCACCGTAATTACAGTTAGGCTTCTAACCACCGCTGACTGAGAAAGGAGCCCAGAGACTAGCAGAGGACAGGAGCCCAGAGACCAGGAGAGGAGCCTAAGAGAGTAGAGGAGTCAAGAGACAAGGAGAGGAGAGGAGTCCAGAGTCTAGGAGAGGATAGGAGACCAAAAGAGGAGAGAGAGAAGACCAAACGCAGCAGGGGAGAGGATCCCAGGAGCCAAGGTGACACATCTGCACCAGCCATGAGCACCGTACAGCCCAATATGTGAGTACACGTGCTTTGATATGAGCTCATGTGTATTTCTTTCATTGTTGGATCATATTGAAATTTATTATCATTTTAACCCTCATGTTTTCCTCGAATCAAGATGACACCGTGATTAACAGATTACTTACTTACTATTAACAGTATAAGGAAAATACAATAAATTAGCGTCTATATTACCAAGGGCTGGTCAAGATAGGGAAAGTCATCAAAATTCAGCAAGAAAAAAAAGTCTGTTGGGGTAGGACAATTTGACCCGACGATAACATGGGTAAAACTATGAAGATTAGTTGTATGTTGCCAAAACGTGATCATGAGAATATTTACTTTGCTGTTTTATGTTTCCAAATGTGAAATAATTTTGTCTCAGTCTGGTTTCTTAGGATGTACATGGATAAACCCAAAAAAGGGAGTATGAGATGACGAGAATGAGCCGACCTATAGTATTCAGTCGGCACCAACCTTAAATAAAACCATTTGAATGGAGAACAAAATACTTACAGCCATTTTCTGTGGTCTAAAATGTGAGTATTCTGATAGAACGGATTAGTGGTAGCATGATTAGTTTGAGATATGAGCCTTTAGGCAGAAGGGTTGGGGGGGATGTACCAATTTGTGCCAGAATGTTTCTGTTGTCGGCGTGGACGCAGCTAAATACAGCTCTAGTTCTGTTTTGGATGATACCTGTGAGTGAAAGCCTGAGTCTGTCAGATCCCAAAAGAGAGACTGCAGGGAACTCCAATTTACTGCGGCTGTGTGACAAACTGTAGTTGTGCCCTTTGGCAAGACACTTATCTGTTCGGCAAAAATATTCTAAAAAGGCTGAATAATAGACAGTTTCATAGCTATATAAAAGGTTTAACGCAATATGTTTGAGTCATGTGGGGTCTGTGAGTATGTAGGAAATGGGCGGGGACAGGTGGTACGTGAAGCAGACATTTGAAGGTTTACTCAAACAGGCAAGAATCCATAAGAATACTGCAAAAAGTGAGAAAAAATTAGTAAAACATTTCTCAAATTTGGAAAATTGAGTGCTTTTTAATTGCCTTAAAAGTAGATTTGCCAATGGAACAAGCAAAAAGATGTCTCCCTTGAAATGAGAAAAAAAATCTTCAAATATGACTAAATGGCTTTGTCCCATTGACACATCTTGTTTTAAGACAGTCAGAAATTACTCAAATTATGATTTAAAAAACATTTGATTGAAGCATGTATCATCTAATATATTATTATTTTTGGCAGTGCATGACAGTTTAGTGAGTAGAATGGTGAGGAAAAGTAGTAGTCCATTTATCTGATGCATAAAGACCAGCCCGAGGTTCGTTAGCCAAGATCGTTAGCCCAGTTTGGGTCTGATGAGGCTGATTAAAGGGGCCATATGGAGATGCGTGGAGAGATGTGTGATTGTGATGCGGGCTTTATTGAATCATTGTTTAATAAGTGTCTCCAGTCGGATCTGAAAAGATGAGTATCTTGGTTATATTTGTCTTTTTCACAGTGACATTTGTTTACTGTTTTATTTGTTTTATTTTAGTCTTTTGATGTTGTTTTATGTCTGTATTTGTCTGTGCACACTGGTGACTTTTGCTAATGTATTCCTATGTGGTGTTTTTACTGCAAATGGCAAATAAACTGAATCTGAATCTATTTTCTGATACAACCATCAGAAGTGAAGACTGAGTGGAAAATTGTCAAGCATTTATTAAAATTTGACTTGAATGTTATAACACATGATGTATTATTTACAGTTGTTCACAAAGTTCACACACACTGCAAGAAATGTCATTGTTTTGGTCATATTTTATCGTTGTTGACATAAGCCACATATTGTTGACTAAACTTCTCTATTCTAATTTCTATTTTCAAATTATGACATGATTGAGCTGCACTGGGGTGATCTCAAATGGTCAGTTCATGCAAGGTGGCCCAGGAATTTACGAGGACTGGAGGCTATTTGTCGAGAAGAATGGACAGCTTTACCACCAGAAAGGACAAACTGTCATAAATGTTAAAGGAGAAATATACTCTATTGAGAACTGGGGGATGAAGATTTCTGATTAAGGTAAAAAAAAAATAAAAAAATATTTAGTACATTTCAAATCTCAATATTGCTCTAGATTAGAACAAAAAACGAACATTGATTTAGTCAGTAAGTCAGTCATCTTTATTCATACAGCGTGTTACAATTAAGATGGAAGCAGAGTCACTATTCAGGAGGCGTGGCAGGAGAAACCGGAGCACACGGAGGAAACTGGAGCATAAAGAGGAAACCGGAGCACACGAAGGAAACCGGAGCACACGATTCCACGTGTGGTATCGAAACCAGGAATCACGAGCACTTACCTCTACACAACTTTGGAGTAGTCTAATTGAATGTACTAGGTAATTTTGAAGATCATATTTTGAGTCCCAAATCTCACGATGTCTTACATATTTATTGGACATGTTCTTAAAATGGCAGGTGTATATCTTATGTGGGAAAAATATTGTAACATGGTTTAAAAACATTTTAAAACGCTCTTAAAAGACAGAACAATATTGGTCTGGGAATGATGTTATGGCAGTAATTACCAGACCATTTGTCAACAGTGCGGTTCATTGTTATTGTCGGAGCTTTCAAATGTGAAGAAGTGATTCCGGTCACAGCAACAGAGAGGAAAAACCACACGCCAGCTTTAATTTGGATTCACAAATGAACGCGCTGATTGCATTTCTCTCGCGTGCACCTGGGAAATGCAAAAGTGAAGAACCCAGAACTGTTGCTTTTGTACATACGTCAACGATCCCAGGGTTAAGGCAGTGTAACTTACTGCAGCATTCTTAGTGGTATGTCCATGCAAAAGGCAACCAGCTGCAGGTTACTCACTCTATTCAATCATGTGTGATAGCAATTTTATTTTGATTAGTCAACTAACTTTGAGTAATAAGACGGGGCTAAAACTCATCTCACCTGTTTGATAATCAAAACATATTTTCAGTCTTTGTAAAAGCACTCATTGCATTGATGAGTGACGTACCAAGACCTTTGTTTAGTCTGAATGTGTTTTAATGTGGACCAAGCACTATATATATTTTATTTTTTGTTTCCCATCCACAAACACACTTTGTTTTCCTCTGGTTTTGCCTATAAAAGCCAACAGTGCTAAAATAGAATCAGCCGCAGCTTACATAAGGGTCACCATGTTTTGTTCTGTTTGGGTTTGAGAGTTTGGCTTCTTTTACCAGCGGCTTCTGCCTGAAGTTGTTCAGGAATGCGTGAATTGATCTCAAAAGGATTGACTCTCACTTTAGATTGCTTTATTTTTACAATGTTATTGTTTTTAAAGCTTTGAATGGACTTGCCCACATCTCGAGGGTGGACCAGATGATACACAAACTTTATCATGAAAAACCGTTTTGAATTAATCACAAACTGACTCCCCTCGGCATGTGGTGATGGTAAATGATGAGCCACTGAAATGAACATAGTCATTCTGCACTTTGCCTAAACTATTTTGAATGTATTTTATTAGGACTGATTTTACTGTTTTTTTTTCTTTGTTTTTGTTTTTATGTGATGTGGGCCAAATATATTTTATTGTGAAATATTGTGTTATTTGATCCACGCTTTTGTCACCTCAAGGCTACTACTACGCTTGCTGACAGCGTTCCCTAAAACCTCTTTGAAGAGCTTTCAGCTCGCTCAAAATACAGCAGCAAGGATCGTAACAGGTACCAAAAGGTACCGGTAAGACATTTTTCAAACTTTTTGTGTGGCCTCTTATTGTTTCTTTGAACCAAGGAGGAGTACGGCTTGTTTTCCTTTTATTTGATTCCACCAATAATCTTATCTAATTTGTGAAATCATAACAATCCTTTTGAATTTTTTCTCTGTCTTTTCCAGATTAGCGGCTAACCTCTCCACAACACCCTTCCCTGACGTGGACAATGTCTCCCACTGCCCGGACACCATCTCTTGGGACATCTTCTACTCTAGCCTCCACATCTACATCTTCATCCTCTCCACTTTAGGAATCCTGCTAAACATCTTTGTCCTTTTGGTCTTCTGCCTCCATAAGAAACCCTGCACCGTCGCGGAAATCTACCTTAGCAACCTCGCCGCCGCAGATCTCATCCTGGTCTCTTGCTTGCCGTTTTGGGCCGTCAACATCTACAACAACTTCGAGTGGCCTTTTGGAACGTTCCTTTGCAAAATTGTCAACCTTGGAATCAAAATGAATGCGTATTGCAGCATTTACTTCCTCGTTCTCGTCAGCATTGACCGCTACTTGGCTTTGGTCCATGCCATGTCGCACGGTAGGATGCGCAGACCGAAGTACGCCAAAATCGGTTGCTTGCTCGTTTGGCTTTTTGGCTTGGTCTTGGGAAGCCCGGTGCTTATATTTCGCAAAGTGCAGTACATTGTCGATTATGACGTGACGGCTTGCATCAATGACTACCCGTTCATAAACTTTTCACTGTTTTATGACGTCATGCTAACCATATTCAGCTTTCTCATTCCGATTTCAATAATAGCTTACTGTACGCTAAAGATCATCCAAGCGCTGAAGAACAAGAGCATGGATCGGTTTCACACGGAGCGGACGGAAAAGAAAGCCACCACCTTAATCATGGCAGTTCTTGGAGCATTCCTGATTTGTTGGGTGCCCTTCCACTTGATCTGCATTCTGGACGTTCTCTGTAGAGCTAAGGTCATTCTGGATTGTTTTACCAATAACGCGGTGGAGTTCTGCAACCAGATCTTCTCCTACTTGGCCTTCTTCAACAGCGTACTCAACCCAGTGCTGTACGTACTGGTGGGGAAGAACTTCAGGAAGAAGATGTGGGAGGTGTTCCATCAGTGGGCGATCACGAGGCCGGTGACGTCCGATTCCACCAGATCGCACCTATCGTCCACGCTGAAGACAACGGTGTGAAGGATTATCAAGAGCAGGGGTCCGCAAAGGGCCGTGTAGCTGCAGGTTTTAAATCCAACCAAGCAGGAGCACACCAGACTCCACCCATTTGCTCAAGTGAGTCCAGTCTTAACCTGAAGACCTGAGGAAATGGGTGGATTCTGAGATGCTTCTGGTTGGTTAGAATGAAGCCAGGTCGGCCCTTTCTGGTACCAGTTTGACACCCCTCATCTAGAACATAAGTGAAAATATATGTTGAGAAAAAGACCTGGACCAAAGTATAAGAGTAATTTTCTTAGTAGAAAATGTGTTTAACATAAGTTTGAAAGGAGAAGACTTATGCTAAATGTGAACATTTAACTGTTAAATTGTAAATGCTAAGCTTTAAAACAGGTCACAACATTGTTTTTCATCAAAAACAGACCTATTGTTAGCTGATATGAGGATCTTCTAACAAAACCATGTGACTGTCCCCCTTCTGTCTTAAAGCTCCTGTCTCAGTCCAGCACTTGTGTGATGTCATTGTACCACTATGATGTCACACTCAGAGCAGACGAAATAAATTCCCAAAAATGAGTTCACATAATTTTTCTTGTGAAATGACGTGGTTTACAGTCACACTGGTGGTATAACACAGGGAGTTACAGGCACATAGCCCTTAATACTTGCTTCTCTGTATATGTTCTACTTATTATTTCACACACAGAGCATCATTTTAAACCAAAACTGGATGAATTGGTAACACAGACTAATAGGCCAATCATATATTACTTTAACTATAGCACATGGTTCAAGGTTCAGAATAAATTACATCATTGTTGTTTTCATGGGTTGTACAACATGCCCAAATAGCATCAAGCTTGTTGGCCAGAATCATGACTTTGTGAAGCGTGGTCAAGTTAGAAAGAGGGGTAAACGCGGAGGCGTAAAGCGGCGAACCAGGAAGCTGCAGAGCAAGAACCGCATTCCCCTGCCTTCAATTGTCATGGCCAACGTGAGATCTCTTCGAAATAAGATTGACGAGCTTCAAGGATATGTTTCGCATCTGCGGGATTACAGAGACGCATGTCTCATGGCATTTACGGAAACTTGGCTCAAGGAGACGGATCCAAACTCTGCATTGGAGATCAGCGGCTTTGGTGCGCCTTTACGCACGGACCGGGACAGTGAGGTGACACACAAAACAACGGGAGGAGGGGTCTGTCTGTACATAAACCGCAAATGGTGTAACAACATTACAGTACGGGAGCGGCTGTGTCTCCCCGATATCGAATTGTTGTCAGTGTCGCTCCGGCCCTATTACCTTCCCAGGGAGTTCCCGCAGATATTTGTAACTGTGGTGTACGTTCATCCCAAAGCAGACATAAAGACAGCTAGTGACGTGGTCTTAAAAACTGTGAATAACCTGCAGTCTATTTCGCCCGCTGCCCCAAATTTTATTCTCGGAGATTTTAATCATTTTAATTTGAAGAAAACTTTGAACAGTTTTTACCAGTACGTAACTTGTCCAACACGCATGAATAAAACGCTCGACTGTTGCTATGGTTCCATTAAGGGCGCGTATTGGTCTAAAGCAGGACCTGCCCTGGGCGCGTCTGACCATAACACGGTCTTTCTTTTGCCTGCATACACCTCCATTCTACGAAGAGAGAAGCCTGTTATAAAACAGGTGAAAGTCTGGACTGAGGACAGCTCCTTAGCACTTCAAGGTTGCTTTGAGTGCACAGACTGGTCGGTGTTTCAGGATTCCTCTCTGGACATTGATGAACTTACAGACGTCATTAGCAGTTATATTTCTTTTTGTGAAGACTTGGTTATTCCAAGGAAGGAAGTGAAATTGTATCCCAATAATAACCAGTGGTTTTCCCGGGGCATAAAGGAATTACTTATTAAAAGAGTAACTGTCTTCAATAAAGGTGACGTGATTGCGGAGAGAGCAATAAGAAAGGAGATCAGGTCTGAGATATATAAGAATAAACTAAGGTACAAAGACAGAGTGGAGGATGAGCTCAGAAGCAACAACTTAAAGAGAACATGGAAGGGAATGAAAAACATGATTGGGGCTCCTGATAAGGTACACAAAGTTGCTTTAATTGGTCGTGAATCAGATAAGCACCTGGCTGATGAACTGAATACATTTTATTCTCGATTCAACAGCTCTGACTACGAAGAGAAACTGTCTGAAATGAAGGCTTGTACACAGGCACGTCCATTGATGAAAATTGAGAGCAGCACAGTAGCAAAGTTGTTCAAGCGGACCAAATCAAAGAGCCCGGGTCCGGACAACATTAGTGGTCGCGTACTGAGAACATGTGCTGACCAATTGTCGGATGTATTTCAGCATATTTTTAACCTGTCCCTGATTCAACAAAAAGTCCCCAAAATTTGGAAACACTCAACAATTGTACCAGTTGCCAAAACCAACACCCCGAAATCTTTGAACGATTTCCGGCCTGTTGCATTGACCTCGTTGGTAATGAAAAACCTCGAAAAAATAATTAAAGAGGCCATTCTTTTGCAAGTCGAGGATAAGTTAGACCCCCTGCAATTTGCATATAGGTCAGGGAGAGGTGTTGATGACGCCGTGATCACACTAATGCACTTTATTTCTTGCCATTTGGATAAAGTAAAGACTCATGCCAGGCTTTTATTTGTGGATTTTACGTCTGCTTTTAACACAATCCAGCCCTTTTTACTCGCACAGCGACTGATTTCAGATTTTAATCTTGATTTTAATTTGGTTGGATGGTTGTTGGACTTCCTAACACCTCGGTCACAGTGTGTGAGGGTTAATGGCACCATGTCAGAGGTTGCCTTTACAATCATTGGTTCTCCTCAGGGTTGCTGCCTGTCTCCACTCCTGTACATTTTGTACACAGATCAGTGTCGAAGTCTGCACCAGGACAGACACATCTTGAAGTTTGCAGACGATTCAGTCATTGTGAGCCTGCTCTCTGGGGAGGAGCAGGGCCATGGACCTGTCCTTAATGACTTTGTGGAGTGGTGCGATGCCTCATTCCTACACTTGAACATCTCAAAAACTAAGGACATGATTTTGGACTTCCGCAGGGCACCTCCAGCCCCCACGACCACTGTTATTAGGGGCATGGATGTTGAGCTTGTGGAGCAGTACAGGTATCTGGGGGTTATTGTGGACCACAGGCTGGGCTTTGAACCCTTGGTCGATGCAGTTTGTAAGAAAGTGCAGCAGAGAATGTACTTTCTTAGGCGCATGAACACTTTTAAGGTGTCGTCAGAAATGATGACCTTGTTTTATCGTTCTTTTATTGAATCTGTGTTTACATTTTGTATCACTGCATGGTTTGGAAGCCTATCCCAAGCAAACAAAAACAGACTTGGCAGTCTGGTTAAAGTGGCTAGTAAGGTGTCAGGGAGACCACAGGCTCAGCCCAAAGACCTGTACAGTAAGCAGGTGCTGAGGAAGGCCAATTCTATCATTGGTTCTTTGGACCACCCCCTGAGGGAGCAGTTTGAACTTTTACCCTCAGGACGACGCTATAGGGCTCTTGGGTGTAGGACAAAACGGTTGGGAACTACATTTATCCCAACAGCTGTGAAGCACCTTAACAGCACATAGCACTTTTACAAACCTTTGCGCTGAAATTTTGTTTTTGTGACATTCTCTTTTGTTCTTGTTTTCTCAATGTTGTGATTTTACTGTATCTGCCTGTTTTTTTTTTAGATGATTTATGCTGCAAAACCAATTTCCCCTAGTGGGACAATAAAGACAACTTGACTTGACTTGACCATCAATGCTTGAAAATCATTTTGGGGGTCACTAAAGATTTGGAAACCCTCGCTGAAGAGAGATTTGAATATAACTGGTGACACTGTGTCCATACACATGGTCAACTGTTTTGCCTTCTATAATATCAAATTATTCAATTATTTCAAGTTCAGAGAAAATGCATTAATAATAGGAAAATATTAATAGACCATTGCACATTGTTTTGATTGTAAATACTGCTCTGTGAATGGAGCGTTCATGTAAATATTTATTTGTACATAAGCATTTGTGATGTTTTGTGAGTAGTTTTGCCTTGCTCCTGAGTCTGTGGGTGCTTTCACACTGTCATAGACTTCAGCAGCAGTCCTTGTGGCCACTGGTCTCTGAGGTCACTGATGGTCTACTGTACACTTGTTTGAGGCTTTCACACTTCCATAAGTGAACCATAATCAGCCCCAAGTTCACAAGAGTTCAAGTTGATTGGTCCAAGTATTATGGCCCTCATTATTAAAGGGAAGCTGTGGTTTGAACAGATGTACATAGATGTACTTATTTTAATTATTATAATTATTATCATAGATGTAAGCTAAAACAATGTCTGTGAGCTCCTGCATTAAAACGTGCTGTACTGTTTTTGCTCCTGCTTCTTTACTCTGTTTTGGTAAATTTCGGTGTACATGGTATTAGTTACAGAAGACGCACGCACGCACACACACACACACACACCTCCTCATTGGTCTCTTCTAGTTCATAAATGTGTCAACAGTCCCATTATTGATCCAACTGGACTTGGTTTCCTTCAGAAAACCGAGTCTCTGACATCACCCTGAGAAGGTATGGCTCATGCATTCTGACCGTTGAAAGTGTTATTTATGCATTGTGTTTGTAATTGAAGCTGGATGTATCCCAGATGAAGAAAAACGTTGTATCAAAGTGCTCTATGAACAGTGGGCATGCATGGGTCTTCACTTGAGGAGAAGCTGAAACAAAGATGCATGAATGACTAAAATGGGAAAGAAATTGAATTAAAAATCTCTTAAAAGTCCATTTCCTCGTCTGCTTTGCTCTGAACAGATCTCGGCGTCACGTCCATGTGTTAAATCGAGCCTGCAGTTGTGTGTAGTGTGGTCAGGCGTGCTGTGGCTGAGTGGTTTCTGCAGTTTGAGTCACAGTCTGCAGCTAAAGTCAGATTTTCCAGGAGAGAAGCAGACATGGCCTCGCTGCTGCTGCTGCTGTTGTCGCGTATGGTTTATGAGGCATTGTTGACTCAAAG